GCAGGATAGCAAGTTAAGCTCGGCAGATGGTTGATTAACACCGTATAGACAGATTTTGACCACGAGATAACCTTATGGAATGAACCAACCAGAATTTCTAGGGCTAAACGTCACTCAAGTGTCACTCCACATTCAACCGTGTTACATTAGTGTTAATTACGTCTCGTTCTATTTGCATACGTACCATACTAGGGCAAAGTAAAAAGGGAATCCGTGGGATTTCCACCGTGAATTCGATGAAATTGAAACCTGGAAGTTATCACATCAGTCTCCTTTCAGATTTTTGCACATGGCCTTGGGCTTCGCGTTTCACCTGCGTGGATAATATACGAAATATACGTCGAGCATTAAGTTAATTATGTGATTATATTAATAACTAAATTAATTAAGAGTTAATTAAGTAAATCGTGTTTTAGATATGATGAAACGAACTCTCTATTATACTGAAGGTAGAGTTCGCAACGTTTCATTTCGCTGGAAAAGTTTGTACTTTAAATTGTATTTTTATAGAAAATATGAGGGAACGCGAGCGGAAACGAACATTAACTGAAATGAATTTTTTTCATTAATAATTCGAAGAATTTTGTGCAAAGTTATTTTAAAAAATTTAATGATAAAACTATATATACGTATAGAGCACATTTTCGATAGTGTTTTTAACTTCAGGATTGTTTTTAAAAAAAAGTTCTATATTGACGAAACGAAAAGTAAACAAATTATTTAATAAGTGTAACACCGGAGAATAATGTGTTTTGATAAAAAATTCCGACGAAAAATTCCTATCTTCCACTTTCTGCGTGCTGGAGTATCTTTCAAGCAGTTCTTAAATATTCCACCTTTGCAAGTATAATGAATCATATAAATTAAACGGAGTTTGTTTAGTACGATACAATTTATTATCTAATAAAAATAACAATCTGTTGGTTAATTTTATGTCCTCTTATCATCGAGTTTATTTTTCTCTATCGCATACTTACACAGCAACGTCGTACGTCATGCGAGGTTTCGATAGTAACCTACAATTTATGGCATTTAAATTTTATACAATTAAGCGTAATGTTTCCTCGTTCTTTATCGGCTGTACGTAGTATAATAAACGTACGCGATTTCCAGGAAAAATTGCTTGCGATCATGCAACGCGGCGATATAAAATTATAGAACGATGCTTGCGTTTGGTTTTAGTTTGGTTAATTCCACCCAGCAAAAATAACTTTATTTAGTTCCTTGTTAAATTCATTGAAAATCTTCTCCCTCCCCGTATCGTTATTGCAATATCATCGTTTACTGCGATTTAAAATTCATAATTTTATTCAAGTCTACTCTTGCTTCAACTGTAATATTACAATAATGGTACAGTAGAAATTATTTTTATTAAACGTAGTTCAATAAAATTCTGAGAATTTAAATTCTGAGAGTTTCTTAGTTTTCTATCGGATTTACAATTAGATAAGAAAATAAAAAAAAAAACTATAAAATGTTCAAAAGAAAAAGTTTTGCTACTCTGACAGTGTTAATTGATAACTGGAATAATTTTTAAAGGTAATAGAAAATGATAGGAATAATTATAAATAAAATAATATTTATAAGGAAGTTCACATGGGATGAAATTTCATCTATGATCTGCTTCATTCCATATTCAAGTCTCGAATAATTCAATCACGATCACATAAGGGTTGCAAAGCACGATCACTTTAAAATACCACTTCTCAAGTTCTTACAGCGTATAATTACCATCTTTCACGCGATATGTAACATGTGCGACGGTAATATTCAAAAGGAAACTTCACTTAAAGTGAAATTTCATTCATGCTTGTCTCTCAAGATTAAAAATGCAATCCTTCATTCTCTTCGATCCCTTCAAATTTCAAATAATACCGCCACACCGTAATGCAACGCAACGTGTTCCCATTAAAAGCTTCAAAATATTATTTCTGTTCCCTTCCTTACAACATATGCATATGATTCATATTCAAGAACAAAATTCATATTGATTAATCTCTTAATAAATTTCCTTCGGTGTTTAATAATATGTAATATCATAATAATTATAATAATTAAATATTACATATTAATATTGCAATAATAATAATATTGTAATAATAATTATTAATATTACAATAATAATAATATTTAATTAATAATTAATTAATGTTTAACAACCATACGAGGAACCTTTTTCTATAAAAAAAAAAAAAAAAAAAAAAACGAAAAAAGGAAAAGAAAGGAAGACACTATAAAATCTGTCGCTTTCTTAAGTTTCGCTTGCCGCAGTCGTTAATTACACGTTATATCGTCGTGCGCGATGCAATCGAATCAGAACAGGTCAGGCTGGGTATTATCGATTTCTTCTTCCGGTTTCAATTTTTCACCCCCTGGGAGCCGGTGGCCCGGCCGCGGTCTCCGTAACACAGGGCCGAATTGTCCTCCGTTAGTTAGCGCGATGCCGACACGTCAAACACGATGCATTACGCGCTCCATCGAGCGCAAATGGAAGTCAGAGGATCGGGGGAGAACGGCGGCCATGGAGCAAATAGTTTCCGCGTGCAAACAAATCGGCACGCGAATCGTAACCGCGGCTTTTTGTCCGCTTCGCTCCGCAGATTTGATCCATGCTCTGTCGCCGATGCTCGGCCACGCAAGAATTCGATTCGCGTCAAACGGAAAAAACACCACCGCGACTCCAACTCTCCCCTTTCCGCCCACTGTCAATTTTTTTCTGTTTTTTTTTTTTTTTTTTTTTTGGTCTCTTTGTGTCGTTTCGTAGTTCACGCTTCCTATCGAAGGTTATAGAAAATTCTTAAAGTTTCTCGTCTAATTAACACGTCAAAGATAATTAGAGAAGCAAAGAAAACAGATCGACCTAATTTCTAGGTGTCTTTGTTGCTACATACATATCTGTATATGTTTAATATTTCTTTACATGAAAGAATTGATAGAGATCATCGATCAATCATACTTTTAACGTTATACAGAAACACAGGTAGGTAGAAGATAATTTGAGAATCATATTGCACCAATTCAATGAACAGGGGCAAAGAAGATATATACTGTTTGCTATTAATTTTGATATCAGCTTCGTCGACAAGTGAATCAAGTCCCTTTCCTTAGTATTATAAAAATTCAATCTTCGTTTAATATTTTACAACGAATTGAGAACAGACTGTAACTTTAGGAAACATTATGATAACGTAATTTAAAAGAAATCTACATTTCTTTCGATAGTAAACCAACGAATTATCAAATGCCATTATTTATCTAGGACGTAAAAATTGACTGTTATTTTTAATCAACGCAAACTTATTTTTTCTAGTTTTGAACTTATGAATATTACATACGATTTTATCATAGAAACATTAATGGTAATTCACTTGTCAATTTAACTTGCGTATATTTTGTTTTATGTTGCATCTCTGTGTACGTTTGTTTCTAATATCTAATTTCCTTGTAACGAAGCCTTAAAGAAGAGAATTCACAGAGACTACATTCCCTTTGTAGGTTAATTTCTGTTTCTCTTTTTATCTTTTTAATACTGTTGACACTTTTTTTTCTACACAGATTTTTCTTCGCTGCAGGATGATCCTTTCGCTAGTTAACTCAAAGGCACGTTCATTTAATACCCTGCAAATCACACGCTCCTGTTTTCATTTTACACGTACACAACCGTCTCAACCTTGATGCAAGCCTCTGACGATAGATCATACTGATAGAGTATTATCGCTGTATTATGATTAGCGGCGTTGCCTTGAGTTATTTAACTGAAAAAAAAATCGTTCCAAATAATATCTTCTTCTACGAATTAGATCCTCCCTTTCTTCAGATTCTCGTGATTTTCGCATGTTATACCTTTCCCCTCCCCCCTAAATTTCATAAACATATTAATTTTCTAAATTTCAGATTCTCCTTGCTCCTTCGAGTTGACAATATTTTGTCATTTTGCATAGGTACACTTTTTATTTGAAAATAAAGCTTCTTCTGCAAAAGTATTTTAGCAGAATTTTCTCTGAGACTTGTTCATCTCAAGTTCTAAATTTTCCACGCGTATATTAAACGAACGTTCTTTCCAATATCCACGTATTAATTTATCGTTCTTCTACAAATTGATTCCCATTCAGATTTCTTTTTCTCGCATCAATTTTTTTTTTTTTTCGACTCGACCTCTGTTCCGTTTTCCATACTCCGCGTTCTGACTTTTGTATTCCTTGTACATCAATTTATTATTTTTCTCGTATACAAATCCTTTTCTTCTTCGCGTTTTCGACTTTTCTTCCCTCCAACAATGGATTTCCCTCCCTTCCCTTACCTCATACATCGACATCCATTCTCCTCCATGTCAGGTTCCTTTTCCTGACAAATTTATCTTCACCCGTGCGTTGATCCCGGCTTCATCCGCAGGATTCTTTGTTTCCGTTTCGATCGTTCCACGCGACGCGTCAAGGAGTAGAGCGTACGTGCCCAGCGCGTGAACGTAATCGCGAAAATCGAACGGAACATCGGGGGATGATCAACGCTCGCCGTTCGATCAGTCTTTTTGAACGATCCTGGCGATGAAATTTCTCACGTTTTCGACGAGTTTCGTTCCGTTTATCGAGGTCGTGGCTCGTTCCGTTTCAAAGCGGTCAGTTGATCGATGCTAGATCGTTTGCTGGATTGCTGGAACAAAGATATCTACGTGTAGAATGGACAAACTAGGGGACTCTGAGACAAAAATGCTTCGTTACTCATTGTCAGTCTTGAGAAGTTAGTTTTTAAGTACTTCAGTTTGCTATTGAATATTCCTATTTTTTCACAGTGATTAATTTCAACTATTAATTTCGCCGTCACGTGTCATTTACTAAATTGAAGCACCGGCAAATTAATTAGACAGTCAGCTATGAAATTTACTAATAAATTATTTCCATTAAATTTGTTTAATTTAATATCAACTTACTGAAATCTCTCACTCCAAACTGGCCATCCCGAAAACTATAAATCCATGATTTTAAAGGTTTATAATGAATCTATCATCGGATAGTTTTACGTGAAAGCTAATTAATTATAATTTTCAAACTGATGTAGCATTTTCAGATCATCGTGAATTCTTCAAATAATTATCTAAAACAGCTTATCGAATAACTTCAAAGATTGGTAGTGCACAAGAGAAAAATGCAATTATCCTTCTGCCAGAGAGAAGATCGCGAATGGTTAATTTCACTGACAGTTTGGCTAACTTCAAACGTACGTGGTGCTATCTCATTAAATTCTAGCCGCCCTTTAAATACGGTTTGCGATTCTGGTCACATATTTTCGAACGTGGCATGAAAAATTTAGAAGAGCACGATGCCACTGTTGTCCAGCTTCTCTTTCTCTGCCCTCCTTCATTTTCTCTCCTCCAGTGATTTTCTCATTTTGAATCCTCTTTCGGTCTGCTTTCTTAATCTCTTTGCTACTTTCTCAGATCGTATTTGTCCTGACTTTTTCCATTTTTTATTTTAATTTTTCGTTTATTTTGTCCTTTATTTCTGTGTCCACATTTGTTTCATCCATTAACAACCAACGTGATTCTTTCGCGCGAAATTTCCTTTCAATCTAATCGATTAATTTAAATAATTAGTTTCAATCGTAGGTTAATTACTTTTTCTTAACAATGTGAAATTCTACTTCTTGATATTAGGATTATGCGGGGAAATTTTAAAGATTCGATCGTTATATGCCTTTCGTATTATTTATTATGGAACTATTATAGGAACTATTGTAGGGTGATTAAATTAATAATATGTTAAATGTAAATAAAAAAAATGAAAGAAATAATTTTGTGAAATTTCAAGTACATTCACACATAAATCAAATGTATATTATCAAAGCTACCAATCGGTATATTTAAATCGTCTAGAAGTAAAACAACATCACAGATATTATGCCAGAGTAAGAACGTGAGAAATATTTTATAAAAATGAATTAGAAAATACCTGCGATAAACCTGAATAGTTGTGTTTCTGGGACAGCACGTGAACAGCTAGTAAATTTACTCTTGAAATTTTGCAAGACGTCCGACAAAAAAAAATAGTAACATACGTAATTGATACTGAATATTCAAACTTCGTAGCACGGATAACAAATAAGAAGTTCATCCTTATGAATCGGAAGAAACATTCCAAATCTATAACTCTCATAACTAGAATTTTCCTGCAACTTCATACTTTTACAAACATATGTAAAACGTGAAATTTGTAGTCTGTGTAGTTGTATAGTTGTATATAATAATTATATTCTAGAATTATATAGAATTGATATTTTTATTCAGATTCGTATTTCATTTAAATTTCTATGCTCAAGGTATTCTAACGAGTAATTCTGTGCAATTTTTCGCTTTGAAATTTCCTTTAACAAATACAATAAAAAATTTTACAATCCAGTGGTTAGACATACTATATGCACGGACGTAATAAATCCTACACTCGAATTCATCAAATCTTCAACACTTGCGGTTGCCAACATCAGTTTATTCAAAGACCGCACGACTGAATAATCGTTAACCTAATCTACTGTCACTTCACGTCGCAAGCGACGCTACGTCGGTTTATTACGTCTATTATTATTTCACTCGAAACTTTTTCCAACGGAAAGCGCATAAGATTCAATTACACAAGTTTATTTTTTATTACATCGCCTTTAGTATCTCGTCTCGTGTCTCGTTACTCTTACACGTGCTTACGTTCTTCAGTATTCCTCTCAGAGTTCTGTTCTTCTCTTCGCCTGTTTGCGAAACTCTGCCGTTTAATGTTTGCCCTGTTCGACGGTAAAAGTTTTTCTCTCGAACAATCGATGCGCGGAGACGCTCGAATGAAAATATAAACGGATAACGGATCACTAATGGACAAAGTCGAGCCGTTTATTCGTGTACGCGATTTGATTGATAGAAGTGATAAATAACAACACGCGTTTGATTAGAATTCGATGTTTCACACGCGCGTCGAAAGTTTGGTGTTAATTCAACCGGAGTGTTATTGCATTTCTGTCGGAGATTTCAATTTCAGAGAAGCGTTGTTTTTCTATTGCGAATTTGAAATGTGTGACGATAAAATCTCCATTGAAGCAATTATTATTAATTTAACTGGCAGCTCAAAATGTAATTCAACGCTTCAAAGTAATTAATGATTTCGACTTTTAATTTATCCAGCAGATGACATTCCTTCTTCTACTTTTGTTCCTCGTTGTTTATACTTTATAATTGTGATTGTAATTATAATATAACAATTATATAAATAAATTTATAATAAATTGTTTTCAATATTATTATAATATTAATTTTGTTGCGAATTTATTAAGAAATTCAAGAAGCTCGTGACATGCAAAATAAATTCGTGTAATATCTGCAGTTATATACAACTTTCATTCAATGTCTACGATAGTACAATTATTGTAATCAAAAGGGAACGAAGAGAGCGAGGAAGAAATATTATTTATACGATAAATTCAAAAAAAAAAAAAAAAACGAAATTAAATTTATCATAGGTTTCTCCGATCGTAGATAAAAAACAAAGAAAAATATCATTTATATGATAAGTTCAAAA